GAGAGAGAGAGAGAGAATTTTTAGTATTTATTTCTTAGTTCTCGGCGGACACAACATCTTTTGTTGGTATGTGGTGCTGAGGATCGAACCCAGGCCGCATGCATGCCAGACGAGCGCGCTACCGCCTGAGCCACATTCCCAGCCCCCTTTTCATTTTTTATTTTGAGATAGGGTCTCACTAAATTGCCCAGGCTGGCCTTGAACTTACATCCTCCTGCCTCAGTCCCCTGAGCCTGCACATTGCTCATGTCCTCACTTTTGAAAGCCAGTTGCACGATTCTGCTACCATGAAATGTAGCAACTGAAACTTGTGTTAAGAAAACAAAATAGCCACGATGATGATGTCTTCCTAATGTGAGCAGGCTTACTCATTACAGAATTCCATGTTCTTCTAACACTGTGGCCATCACCCTGTGCTCCAAGGGACACGGCTAACTGTGCTTTTCAAATGTGTTTTTACATTCTTAGAGGTATATTTAAAGTTTGTACTTATTTTAACTTTTAATCTTTTGGCATAAGTTTTCTTTTCAAAATAATTTAAAAAGTATTATCTAATTTAAAAATCACCTTAATATACACCTTTGTATTTAACGTTAACTTTTATAAATATATCCAAAACCTAAAGATATTTAAAACTCAAATATTATGATATTTTTAAGATGAGTTTACTTTCCTAAATGCAAATGTTGTAGAACTTAATATAAAAGGACTGAAATTCATGCCATAAATGTATTTAAGATAAATCTCATCATACTCTTTATATCTAAATACATTTAGGCATATATGTATATATATATATAAATTGCTCAGTCATATAGGAGTTCTTCTATTGATAACAACATCTGAATTCAGCTCTCTGTTAGGAGATAATATAAATTTTCTCGTTCTTTTACTTCAACCTCTTACCCTAAATGCGGGGTTTGCTCCAAGCTCCAGTAAGCATTTTGTAGCACCTGCACACAAGTTATACGCTGCAATATGCAAAGCCGTTCCAAAATTAAAGTCACTGCAAGTGGCATCCACATCTGCAATTAAACATGACAAGTATATTAACTAAAATTTTAAATTTAGCTATTATAATTTAACAGGAAATGGAAAGCTTGGGGGCTTGGGGATTTTTAGCCTTTTATAAGACTTAAATTAACCCACCAGAAGTACTGTTTCTCAATGGAATAAAATCTTTGCATTACAATCTGGCCAAAACAATCAACTGATTATTTTTCTAGTATAATAAAGTTCATTATTATTAAAATCAAGTGATACTATCATGGGTCTTCCAGCTATCACAAACCAAATCATATTAAAAGTAATGAATGGCAATAATTTGTATTTGTATAAATTACTGCTTTCCCATGACCTCTCACTAAATCTCTTTCACATTTGCTCTGACAACCACAGCAAAGCAATAGGGTTTAGGTCAGGGATCAACAAACTATGTATGACCCATGGGCAAAACCCACCTCACCATCTGTTTCTAAGTTTTACTGGATCACAGGCACTCTCATTCACTGACATTTTTCTAAGGCTACTCTCATGCTTATAATCATGAACTTAACAGATCATATGGTCTGAAAAATATAAAATATTTATTTACTATTTAGTTCTTAGCAGGAAAAAAGACTGCTAATTCTT